TCATAAAAGCTGGTAAAGCCGGTATTTTACCTGGAGTCTGTGGTGCACCTTGGCAATCAAAGTAAGGAAATGATTTCTACACGTTTTCTAAAACAAAATATATTATCAAACGTCAAATTTATAATTTTACTTTTTGATAACCCAAAAATTTAGGTATTGTCCATATCCTCCTATTGCTGGTATCAAACCGGAAGAATTTGATTATTTCCACGAATTTATTATTACAGATGAATTGGCTCGTTGTGGATCAGGAGGTATTCTGTGGGGTTTAACGGGTGGTAAGTTAAAAATGAGCAAAAAAAAAGTTTTCTATGGGCTCAGAATTGCTTGTTAATGTTTTTTTTTTTTTTTTTTTAATATAGGTTTGGGTATCGGTCTTCCACCCATCATAAAATTTGGGTCTGATGAACTCAAACAGAGGGTTGCTCCAGAATGTTATGCGGGAACAAAAAATATCTGTCTTGCTATTACAGAACCTTATGCTGGATCCGATGTTGCCAATATTAGAACTGAAGCCAAGCTTACGGACGATGGCGAACACTATATAGTTAACGGAGAGAAGAAATGGATCACAAATGGTGTGTTTGCTGACTATTTCACCACTGCGGTTCGCACGGGTGGTCCAGGAATGGGTGGAATCTCTCTTCTTTTGATTGAGAGAACGAGACCAGGTGTTAAGACCCGTCAAATGCAATGTTCAGGTGTATGGGCTTCAGGTACCGCTTATGTCACATTTGAAGATGTAAAAGTTCCAAAAAATAATTAAAAATTGGTGAAAATTGTGTATAACACGAATAATTCTTAATTTCATAATATTTTTGGAATGAACAATAGATACTTCTAAAAATTATTTATTCTAAAACTAAAAAATTATTATTAAAGTTTGGCTCCAGCGAACTGTGCAACTTTTAGAGATTGCCTGACACCCAAATCGAGCATAATTTCTTCAGAACCACCAGGAATTGCGTAAGCACGTACTTCACGATATAAACGTTCGACTTTTTCGCCTTGACTGATGATCATTAAAAATAAATACATTAATACGCGATTTCAATATATTAATACACGATTTCGATATATTAATACACGATTTCGATATATTAATACACGATTTCAATTATTTACGTACCCGCCACGACTATAAGCTAAACCACCAAAAATTTGGGCGGCTTCTCGAGCACAAAATTCAAATGTTTGTGTTGTTTGTGCTTTCAATAACGCAATTGGACCACCGAGTCTTATCATTGCATCTTCTCCTTCCATAAATCTTGTTTGGTAAAGTAGAGATTCCATCCAAGC